CTGTGTATAGAGTGTGTGGTCTCAGTTTAAAGGAATTTTCACGAAAAGTAGAATTCATACCGGTGGGTGAAATTCCAACAAGATTAAGTTTACCATTGTCAGTCATTAAGTCAAAATCAGATGATGATGATAATATTTGGGCCAAGAACAAGGTAGACAGGTACAAGAATCGTCCTCATAATGAAGTGTTTGAATTTATGTGTTTAGCAACTTTCTGTTCTGAATACAGGGTTTTGTATGGTAAGCAAAGAAAACAACAGAAGAATATTCATAAATTGTTGAATGGACATGGTTTTGTGCAGAAAAGAACAAAGAAAAATGCTATCATTAGATATCCAAGATTTAACGTTGAGACAAATACTGAAAGGTTTTATCAAAGTATGCTTCAACTTTTTTTACCTTATAGAACAAATGATGAACTAAAGCCATCAGAGTTTAAGTGTTATCAACAGTTCTTTTTTCTTGGAAGTGTGCAACTCAATTCACGTGTTAAAAAGGTTCGGACGATAGTTGCCAGAAATAAAGCTTTCTATGAAAAAGATGCAGAATCATTTGATAAAGCAAAGGAATTTCTTGAGAATATGCCAGAAGATATTGATGCTTGGTCAACCTTGTGTCCAGAATCAGAGAAAAGTAGGCTTGAGGAAGAGAATGACAAAGACTCTTACCCTTTTCTAACTGCACCGATTTTCATCGGATGCATCCGGACGCATCCGATGAAAGTGCCAGTTAGAAAGCAACAGAGGAGAAAAAGGCGATTAAATAGCCGATGAAAAGAAGAGAAATAGGCGATTAAATTCTCCTGCTCTAGAGCGGGAGAAATTCTCATTCTATCGGTGTGATACCGATAAAACGTGCAGTTAGAAAACGTTCGGGAGAAAAGGGCGATTAAAAAAGCGATTAAAATGGTCAAAGGTCGCAGTATACGCGCGCTTTACCGTAACCAGCTGTGTTTGTTGACTTATGGTTAAACAAGCTGCATGCTAGCTAGATGGAGCGCGGGCTTAATAATTACGTAATAATTCTTCACTTCCGGCGAGGGCTCGCCACAGCGAGTGAATTTCACCGGCAGTTAGAAACCGACAGGGGGAAAACTGCGGTTTCACCTTTGTTTACATAAGGAATATTCAATCGGTATTTTCATCGGTGTGACTCCGATAGAGTGCAGTTAGAAAAGGGTATCTGTTACATATGAGAGTGATAGCGAGTTTGCGGTACCTGACTTATGTACGAAGGATAGTAGTGATTCACAACATAGGATTGAATTACGTGAACCTAAATTGTCACAGCAAGATAAAATGTCATTATTTAGATCCATGAACACTAAACAATGTGAAGTCTTTTACAAAGTGAGAGAATGGTGTATTAACAAGACATTAGACACTAATATTGACCCTTTTTTTGTGTTCCTTACTGGAGGAGCTGGTGTTGGAAAATCACATCTTGTACGATGTATATATACAGAAGCAACACGATTATTACAGAAAACTTCTGAAAACCCTGATTCCATTGTAGTTTTGAAAGTTGCACCAACTGGAGTTGCAGCCTTTAACATTCAAGGTCTAACAATCCATAGTGCTTTCTCACTCCCCCTTAGAATGCGTCTACCTTATGTGCCACTGACTGAAGAGAGACTTAGTTCCTTGCGAAACACCTTATCTCAAGTTCAAATTGTTATAATTGATGAAATTTCTATGGTTGATCAGAATATTTTTGGTTATATTCATGGACGTCTTCAACAAATAAAAGGAAAATCTAGTGATTTTGGTCATGTAAGTGTTATTGCTGTGGGAGACTTTTATCAATTGGCTCCAGTGGGAGGCATACCTTTGTATAATGAATCTGTTAATTCAAGTTTATGGCATGACAATTTCAAGATAATAGAACTAGACGAGATAATGCGTCAGAAAGATGATGCTGAGTTTGCAAATTTACTGAACAAATTGCGCATAAGAAAAAGAAATGAGGATGTAGATGAACATGATCTATCACTTTTAAGAAGTTGTGAGACTCATGAATATACAGATAATGTTTTACATATCTATCCTAAAAATAAAGATGTTGATGCACACAATATACACATGCTGTCTAAAAATTTCAAAGAAATCAAAGTTACTAAAGCAGTTGATTCTAACCCTAAATCTAATTCTATAAAGAAAAACAAAAAAGAAAAAGTAACATTACCTGAAAAATTATCCATTGCAGTTGGAGTGAGGGTTATCCTTACACGAAACATAGATACATCAGATGGTTTAAGTAATGGCCAAATTGGAACTGTAAAGGCATTCATTGAAGGGACTGAACCATTTACACTAAAGTATATATATGTGCAGTTTGATAATGATAAAGTTGGTGCAAAATTTAGAAAGACTAATAAGATATGTAAAGATTATGAAAATTCTGTCCGTATTGCAAAAGTAGAGGAGGTTCATGATAATTTTAAACGTTTGCAATTTCCATTAAAGTTAGCATATGCTTCAACAATTCACAAAGTTCAAGGTTTAAGTTTGGAAAAATGTTTATTTAATATGAAAGGTATCTTTTGTGCTGGCCAAGCTTATGTGGGAATAAGCCGTTTAACATCTTTAAAAGGACTGACTTTGAAAGAGTTTGATATTAAATACATATATTGTAATGAGAGTATTTCTGAGTCCATTGCAGAAATGCCTCACTTTTTGGAAACACAATGTACACCAATCTTATCTTATGAGCAGATGATAATATTACATAATGTTCAAGGTTTAAGATTACACTTTGAAGACCTTTGTAAACAGATTCAAAATATGAATGCAGACTTTATTTGCCTCACAGAAACCTGGCTGAAAGATGAGTATTTTCCTTTGGATGTAGAGTTATCAGATTACAAAAGTTACCATCAACCAAGACATATGGCTTATAATAATTCAAGTGAAATAACTACCAAACTTGGGGAACAATCACATGGTGGTGTGTCATGTTACGGCAAAATTATCAAATCATTCTCTAGATTACATTTAACAAATAACATTGAAAATATTGCTATTCACATAGTTTCAAAGTTTTCAGTCCTACTTGTTGTGATATATAGACCAGCCTCATACAAGATGTCTGTGTTTCTTATGCATTTGAAGAATTTGGTAGAAACAGCTCATAATCATAGTAAAAAAGTTATCATTATGGGAGATTTTAATGAAAATTATACACAAAGTTCTTGTTTAGTAAAGTTCTTCATTAGTTATGGATATAAGCAATTTGTAACCAATTCAACAACAGAAAGAGGAACTATAATAGACCATGTTTACATAAGAGGGTTTGATTTGCAAGATATTTGTATTGTACCAACTTACTATAGTTATCATGAATGTATTAAGATCCTAGTTTAGCATTACTGCATAATTGTCAACAAGGAAAGTAATACAAGCTTTATTTTTAGTGCTAAATTGTATGAGATAATATTGAGATAGCTATTGATGATTGATTTGATAATTAATTACCAAAATGCAGGTAAAATATTAATACACCAAATATACAAGTAATATACATATTTTAGTAAAGGGAACTAAGAAAATGTGAAAGTGCTAATTGAGGATACCCATGTTAACATTACATACATGTACAGTATATAATTTATTTTTTCACTAGCAATTTCATAAGATGGGAATTTACTAAATGTTAAATCACCTTGCTGATAATGAATATATAAAAATAGGTCTACCATTACTTGGTAAATTTTTCATAGCCTTTTTGAAAATGTGAATCGCACTTGCTTTTTTAAAATGATGTGTTCAAAACATAAGCCAGAAAATATATATATTGAAAAAAGGAGATCAGAGACTCTGGTCTTAGAGGAAGGGGAGGTGCCAGTTTCCCTTCCGGTATGAAGTAGGGGTTCATGAACAAGCCCTCGGATGGAAGGTAATTATCACATGTTTGGGTTGCATTCTTCAATAGGAAAACTGGTCTGCTTGTCTGTGCATTGAATTGTATACTAACTTGTCTTTTTCTTGGTTTGGTGTTATACCTGTATCTCTGGTGTTTACTTTCTGGCAAACGTTTATTGATAGTGTGTATAGCAATGCACAATGAGTAGCCTCCTGAAGTCGTGGACACCGATTCCTAAATTAAGGATCAAGATTATCGTTGACATTATATTTTAAACCTAGGAAAATTATTATTTTTCAACATAAGAATTGATTATCAAAATTATGCTAATGATATGTGGTTGCATTTGTAAATATGCATAATCCTGTCAATAAGCATGTTTGCAGGAACTTTGAGAATTTTCAATCTCTATTTCTTCCCCGTTATGCTAACTTTCAGATCATCTACAGGAGGGGAGCTCTGTGGTTCGCTGGCTTCTGACGTGAACAAAACCAAGCCACCAAACTCTTCAACATCTCAGGCAATGTGAACACCCCCTGTACCGTGGAGGAGTCCAAGTCTATCCCCCTCAAGTTCTTGATTGAGAAGCACGCTAGTGGTGTAGAGGGGGGTTGGGATGTCTACCCAGGGGGTTCATGTACTTCTATGATCCCTAAAGAGTGAGTATTAGAGAGATTAGTGTGGTCACTGACGGGTGGTTATTTCATCAACTCTGCTCTCAATTAACATAAGAAAAAGAGGATCATGGGGGACCAATGGGCACTGCTTAGGCATTGTTTTCTATATAGAGGGAGCAAGTAGCTACAAGTAGTACTGTGGGTAGTGTGGCCTTTTGCTTTTGGTTTTTGATTTGTCGTGGACACCGATTCCTAAATTGAGGATCAAGATTATCGTTGACATTATATTTTAAACCTAGGAAAATTATTATTTTTCAACATAAGAATTGATTATCAAAATTATGCTAATGATATGTGGTTGCATTTGTAAATATGCATAATCCTGTCAATAAGCATGTTTGCAGGAACTTTGAGAATTTTCAATCTCTATTTCTTCCCCGTTATGCTAACTTTCAGATCATCTACAGGAGGGGAGCTCTGTGGTTCGCTGGCTTCTGACGTGAACAAAACCAAGCTACCAAACTCTTCAACATCTCAGGCAATGTGAACACCCCCTGTACCGTGGAGGAGTCCAAGTCTATCCCCCTCAAGTTCTTGATTGAGAAGCACGCTGGTGGTGTAGAGGGGGGTTGGGATAACCTCTTAGCTGTCATCCCAGGGGGTTCATGTACTTCTATGATCCCTAAAGAGTGAGTATTAGAGAGATTAGTGTGGTCACTGACGGGTGGTTATTTCATCAACTCTGCTCTCAATTAACATAAGAAAAAGAGGATCATGGGGGACCAATGGGCACTGCTTAGGCATTGTTTTCTATATAGAGGGAGCAAGTAGCTACAAGTAGTACTGTGGGTAGTGTGGCCTCTTGCTTTCGGTTTTTGATGAGTCAATTCGTCCTTGTTTTCACGAAGTGACGGTAGTGAGGAAAATCGTAACGCAAAGTGAATGCAATTTTTTTTCACTACCGTCACTTCGTGAAAACAGCGACGAATTATATTATGAACTGGCAATGGATGCAGTATCACTGTTAACCTGCCTCTTATGCTAACTTTCAGATCTTCTGCAGGAGGGGAGCTCTGTAGTTCGCTGGCTTCTTGACGTGAACAAAACCAAGCCACCAAACTCTTCAACATCTCAGGCAATGTGAACACCCCCTGTACCGTGGAGGAGTCCAAGTCTACCCCCCTCAAGTTCTTGATTGAGAAGCACGCTGGTGGTGTAGAGGGGGGTTGGGATAACCTCTTAGCTGTCATCCCAGGGGGTTCATGTACTTCTATGATCCCTAAAGAGTGAGTATTAGAGAGATTAGTGTGGTCACTGACGGGTGGTTATTTCATCAACTCGGCTCTCAATTAACATAAGAAAAAGAGGATCATTGGGGACCAACGGGCACCGCTTAGGCATTGTTTTCTATATAGTGGGAGCAAGTAGCTACAAGTAGTACTGTGGGTAGTGTGGCCTTTTGCTTTTGGTTTTTGATTTGTCGTGGACACCGATTCCTAAATTGAGGATCAAGATTATCGTTGACATTATATTTTAAACCTAGGAAAATTATTATTTTTCAACATAAGAATTGATTATCAAAATTATGCTAATGATATGTGGTTGCATTTGTAAATATGCATAATCCTGTCAATAAGCATGTTTGCAGGAACTTTGAGAATTTTCAATCTCTATTTCTTCCCCGTTATGCTAACTTTCAGATCATCTACAGGAGGGGAGCTCTGTGGTTCGCTGGCTTCTGACGTGAACAAAACCAAGCCACCAAACTCTTCAACATCTCAGGCAATGTGAACACCCCCTGTACCGTGGAGGAGTCCAAGTCTATCCCCCTCAAGTTCTTGATTGAGAAGCACGCTGGTGGTGTAGAGGGGGGTTGGGATAACCTCTTAGCTGTCTACCCAGGGGGTTCATGTACTTCTATGATCCCTAAAGAGTGAGTATTAGAGAGATTAGTGTGGTCACTGACGGGTGGTTATTTCATCAACTCGGCTCTCAATTAACATAAGAAAAAGAGGATCATTGGGGACCAACGGGCACCGCTTAGGCATTGTTTTCTATATAGAGGGAGCAAGTAGCTACAAGTAGTACTGTGGGTAGTGTGGCCTTTTGCTCGGTTTTTGATTTGTCGTGGACACCGATTCCTAAATTGAGGATCAAGATTATCGTTGACATTATATTTTAAACCTAGGAAAATTATTATTTTTCAACATAAGAATTGATTATCAAAATTATGCTAATGATAATGATTGCATTTGTAAATATGCATAATCCTGTCAATAGGCATGTTTGCAGGAACTTTGAGAATTTTCAATCTCTATTTCTTCCCGTTATGCTAACTTTCAGATCATCTACAGGAGGGGAGCTCTGTGGTTCGCTGGCTTCTGACGTGAACAAAACCAAGCTACCAAACTCTTCAACATCTCAGGCAATGTGAACACCCCCTGTACCGTGGAGGAGTCCAAGTCTATCCCCCTCAAGTTCTTGATTGAGAAGCACGCTGGTGGTGTAGAGGGGGGTTGGGATAACCTCTTAGCTGTCATCCCAGGGGGTTCATGTACTTCTATGATCCCTAAAGAGTGAGTATTAGAGAGATTAGTGTGGTCACTGACGGGTGGTTATTTCATCAACTCTGCTCTCAATTAACATAAGAAAAAGAGGATCATGGGGGACCAATGGGCACCGCTTAGACATTGTTTTCTATATAGAGGGAGCAAGTAGCTACAAGTAGTACTGTGGGTAGTGTGGCCTTTTGCTTTCAGTTTTTGATTAGTCAATTATATTATGAACTGGCAATGGATGCAGTATCACTGGTAACCTGCCTGTTATGCTAACTTTCAGATCATCTGCAGGAGGGGAGCTCTGTAGTTCGCTGGCTTCTGACGTGAACAAAACCAAGCCACCAAACTCTTCAACATCTCAGGCAATGTGAACACCCCCTGTACCGTGGAGGAGTCCAAGTCTATCCCCCTCAAGTTCTTGATTGAGAAGCACGCTAGTGGTGTAGAGGGGGGTTGGGATGTCTACCCAGGGGGTTCATGTACTTCTATGATCCCTAAAGAGTGAGTATTAGAGAGATTAGTGTGGTCACTGACGGGTGGTTATTTCATCAACTCTGCTCTCAATTAACATAAGAAAAAGAGGATCATGGGGGACCAATGGGCACTGCTTAGGCATTGTTTTCTATATAGAGGGAGCAAGTAGCTACAAGTAGTACTGTGGGTAGTGTGGCCTTTTGCTTTTGGTTTTTGATTTGTCGTGGACACCGATTCCTAAATTGAGGATCAAGATTATCGTTGACATTATATTTTAAACCTAGGAAAATTATTATTTTTCAACATAAGAATTGATTATCAAAATTATGCTAATGATATGTGGTTGCATTTGTAAATATGCATAATCCTGTCAATAAGCATGTTTGCAGGAACTTTGAGAATTTTCAATCTCTATTTCTTCCCCGTTATGCTAACTTTCAGATCATCTACAGGAGGGGAGCTCTGTGGTTCGCTGGCTTCTGACGTGAACAAAACCAAGCTACCAAACTCTTCAACATCTCAGGCAATGTGAACACCCCCTGTACCGTGGAGGAGTCCAAGTCTATCCCCCTCAAGTTCTTGATTGAGAAGCACGCTGGTGGTGTAGAGGGGGGTTGGGATAACCTCTTAGCTGTCATCCCAGGGGGTTCATGTACTTCTATGATCCCTAAAGAGTGAGTATTAGAGAGATTAGTGTGGTCACTGACGGGTGGTTATTTCATCAACTCTGCTCTCAATTAACATAAGAAAAAGAGGATCATGGGGGACCAATGGGCACTGCTTAGGCATTGTTTTCTATATAGAGGGAGCAAGTAGCTACAAGTAGTACTGTGGGTAGTGTGGCCTCTTGCTTTCGGTTTTTGATGAGTCAATTATATTATGAACTGGCAATGGATGCAGTATCACTGTTAACCTGCCTCTTATGCTAACTTTCAGATCTTCTGCAGGAGGGGAGCTCTGTAGTTCGCTGGCTTCTTGACGTGAACAAAACCAAGCCACCAAACTCTTCAACATCTCAGGCAATGTGAACACCCCCTGTACCGTGGAGGAGTCCAAGTCTACCCCCCTCAAGTTCTTGATTGAGAAGCACGCTGGTGGTGTAGAGGGGGGTTGGGATAACCTCTTAGCTGTCATCCCAGGGGGTTCATGTACTTCTATGATCCCTAAAGAGTGAGTATTAGAGAGATTAGTGTGGTCACTGACGGGTGGTTATTTCATCAACTCGGCTCTCAATTAACATAAGAAAAAGAGGATCATTGGGGACCAACGGGCACCGCTTAGGCATTGTTTTCTATATAGTGGGAGCAAGTAGCTACAAGTAGTACTGTGGGTAGTGTGGCCTTTTGCTTTTGGTTTTTGATTTGTCGTGGACACCGATTCCTAAATTGAGGATCAAGATTATCGTTGACATTATATTTTAAACCTAGGAAAATTATTATTTTTCAACATAAGAATTGATTATCAAAATTATGCTAATGATATGTGGTTGCATTTGTAAATATGCATAATCCTGTCAATAAGCATGTTTGCAGGAACTTTGAGAATTTTCAATCTCTATTTCTTCCCCGTTATGCTAACTTTCAGATCATCTACAGGAGGGGAGCTCTGTGGTTCGCTGGCTTCTGACGTGAACAAAACCAAGCCACCAAACTCTTCAACATCTCAGGCAATGTGAACACCCCCTGTACCGTGGAGGAGTCCAAGTCTATCCCCCTCAAGTTCTTGATTGAGAAGCACGCTGGTGGTGTAGAGGGGGGTTGGGATAACCTCTTAGCTGTCTACCCAGGGGGTTCATGTACTTCTATGATCCCTAAAGAGTGAGTATTAGAGAGATTAGTGTGGTCACTGACGGGTGGTTATTTCATCAACTCGGCTCTCAATTAACATAAGAAAAAGAGGATCATTGGGGACCAACGGGCACCGCTTAGGCATTGTTTTCTATATAGAGGGAGCAAGTAGCTACAAGTAGTACTGTGGGTAGTGTGGCCTTTTGCTCGGTTTTTGATTTGTCGTGGACACCGATTCCTAAATTGAGGATCAAGATTATCGTTGACATTATATTTTAAACCTAGGAAAATTATTATTTTTCAACATAAGAATTGATTATCAAAATTATGCTAATGATAATGATTGCATTTGTAAATATGCATAATCCTGTCAATAGGCATGTTTGCAGGAACTTTGAGAATTTTCAATCTCTATTTCTTCCCGTTATGCTAACTTTCAGATCATCTACAGGAGGGGAGCTCTGTGGTTCGCTGGCTTCTGACGTGAACAAAACCAAGCTACCAAACTCTTCAACATCTCAGGCAATGTGAACACCCCCTGTACCGTGGAGGAGTCCAAGTCTATCCCCCTCAAGTTCTTGATTGAGAAGCACGCTGGTGGTGTAGAGGGGGGTTGGGATAACCTCTTAGCTGTCATCCCAGGGGGTTCATGTACTTCTATGATCCCTAAAGAGTGAGTATTAGAGAGATTAGTGTGGTCACTGACGGGTGGTTATTTCATCAACTCTGCTCTCAATTAACATAAGAAAAAGAGGATCATGGGGGACCAATGGGCACCGCTTAGACATTGTTTTCTATATAGAGGGAGCAAGTAGCTACAAGTAGTACTGTGGGTAGTGTGGCCTTTTGCTTTCAGTTTTTGATTAGTCAATTATATTATGAACTGGCAATGGATGCAGTATCACTGGTAACCTGCCTGTTATGCTAACTTTCAGATCATCTGCAGGAGGGGAGCTCTGTAGTTCGCTGGCTTCTGACGAGAACAAAACCAAGCCATCAAACTCTTCAACATCTCAGGCAATGTGAACACCCCCTTTACCGTGGAGGAGTCCAAGTCTATCCCCCTCAAGTTCTTGATTGAGAAGCATGCTGGTGGTGTAGAGGGGGGTTGGGATAACCTCTTAGCTGTCATCCCAGGGGGTTCATCTATTTCTATGATCCCTAAAGAGTGAGTATTAAAGGGATTAGTGAGGTCGCTGACGGGTGGTTATTTCATCAACTCGGCTCTCAATTAACATAAGAAAAAGAGGATCATTGGGGACCAACGGGCACCGCTTTGGCATTGTTTTCTATATAGAGGGAGCAACTAGCTACAAGTAGTACTGTGGGTAGTGTGGCCTCTTGCTTTCGGTTTTTGATGAGTTAATTATATTATGAACTGGCAATGGATGCAGTATCACAGGTAACCTGCCTGTTATTTGATTAGAAAAAATAATTCAATATAAAATCACAAGTACACATGTTGTACATATTATGCAATAAATTTAACTTTGATGGGGATGTTGTGTAAGTTTAAGATCAAGAGAGCAAGTGACTTTACTGACTCCTTGTGAAATTTGTAAAGGTTTTGTTTATGCAAAATTTGCTAGTTTTACAGTATTACTTCTCTCCAAAAAGAGGAATACTCAAAACGTGTAATCAAGATGAACTATACTATGTGATGTTATGGTGTTATATGTCAACAAATGACCAAGAAGGTTGTAGAGAGAGGAGGGGGGAGGGGGTTGTAAAACTGTAATACTGATGAAATTTAATGAAAAGTTTTGTTTTTGTTTTCATTTTTAATAGTAAGGTTATAGGTGTAAGAACAGTTAGAAACATTGTTATGATATACTATAACAGTAGCAATTCACAACTTTATGGTTCTCATTTCATTCCTACGAATTAACTCGTTGTCATCTCACAGTGTATTATTATGATATAATAATAATGTCAACACTTATAATATGCGCCATTATCTATCATGGTGCAGTGAAAGGAAAATAGAAAATAAAGAAGAATATGAGATAAATTGTATTTCAATTATTTTGCTGTTCCTCAAAACAACTTTTTATTGCAAATTGATTTTACTTTTAGATCATACACGTACATGGTTGTAGAAAATGAAAGCAAAAATGAAATGCAAAAAATAATGAAGTGGAAATTCATAGCACACACCTTTTTTTCTTTTCTTCTATTGCAGGTACCTCATTTTACATCTTTGGTAGATGGATGGCTCTTTGCACTTTGACCAATGAGCTTATCTACATTTCATCTATCAAGCACCGATGATTTGATATTATCTCCAGCAATGCAATAATTGAATAAACCAACCTCACACAACTGATAATGGCACTGTGACTAATTTATTTGTATGGATTCTTTTCTATAATACTTGTTATGAGTAAATTAAAATTGCATGATTTAAAAACCACTAAAATGTATACAATATTTATGAGAAAAACATCTATAAAAGAATAGAAGTGGTAGAATGGCATGGAAATGAGAGAAACATCTATGAAAGAAAGATGTGAATATGAAAAAGAAAGAATACATAAATAGAATTACATTGAAAAGAAGATAGATGAATGACAGGGAAAATAACAAGAGTAAATGAGAGATAGAAGTGTGTGTGTGGAGGGGGGAGGGGTGACAACGGCAATTTAAACGGGATAACCTTGCTATCCATAAGGATCATTATTCATAAATGTCTTTATTCATAATGCACTTCTACCATATACTAGCAAACTGCTATTCATATTGCAAAAACAGGTTGCTATTTATAATATACATATACCACTATCCACAAGGGTCACTATAAGGGAAAGGGACATAATGAATATTCATAGTTTGGATAAAGGACCAATTTTCATAAGGGTCACTCATCACTATTCATAATTTGACTAAGGGGTATTCATAATATACTGACCCCTTTGCTAAATTATGAGCATCAATTAACGCCCTCATTTTTTTATTTATATGAAAGCGCACCTGTGTTCTTTTATGAATAACGACCCCTTTACTCATTTAGCAATAGCGACCTATTGAAAAATAAGTCCTTTTTTAAATTATGAAAGCAACCTCAATAGTATTGTGAATAGCGACCCTTTTCTCATATAATTGTGACCCCTTATTTCTAATATGAATTATTTATTTGTGATAAAGACCCTTATAAATAGTGATCCCATATTTTAGTTGGGAACAGTGAACCTTATGAATAGAGAGCTTTATGTGTAATGATCCTTCTGAATAGCCAGCGGACCCTCATTTTTGAGGGAAATTTGGATTATTTGAGTAGCCTCGTTGATAGGAACTTTAAATCTTTAATTCTTATTATACAACCAGGGGTAATTCTTTTGTAGACTATAAAACATAAAGATAAGAAAAGGATGAAAAAAAGAATTAACAAAATAAGTAAGACAGAAATAAAAATAGAAAAGGATGAAACAAAAAAATTAAGGTGAAAAAGAAGGAAAAAGATATATTAACAAAAGGACATGTACAAAGAGGAGACGATAGAGGGATACAAACTATGGCTGCTGACAGGTACAAAAAAGATAGAATTATGAAAACAGGAAAATGAAGAAAGATCGAAGAAAGCTAGGTGTTAGAATATAATGACAACAACAAAAAAACATCCTGAAGATAAACATAGAGAAATATATAGAAAGAGAACATAAAAAGATAGAAAGCCAAAATCACAAGGATGAAATTAAGCAAAAAATAATATGACGAAATATAATAATAGGAAATGATATGATAAGGAAACATACTGATAAAGAAATAATAAAAGAAACAATGTAAATTGATCGATTAAACCAGACAATACCATTATAATGGTAGTAAGAGAAAACAAAACTTGAAACACTAAAAAGATTGAAGAATGACATGAAGAAAGATAGCTAGAGAACACTCTTATTGGAAAATGAATGGGAGCTGTGAGTGATATTTGTTACATGTATGTAATTATATTGATACGCGACAACACGCATCTCCATACACAATGGTCAACTACCTGCAACGGCCCGAAACGGACAAATAGCGCCTGTATGGACGGGTTGCATCAGTAATTCCGGAGAAAGAAGATTACAGTGACCTTGATGGGATGCTAGCGACTACGCCAACGAAGTTTGAAAGAAATTGGGATAGTGGAAAGCACCTAGAAAGGGCTCGCAAGCACTGCGTGCAAAACCACTCTCTTTTTTTCTATGATAATCCTATCGAAACACGTGATGTAAAATAGATTTATAGGACAAAATGGCGTCTTAATTGGCCCCCTTGACCATTTTCAAAAATCCGGCCACGAGGTGCCCTGCGTATTGGAACTCGGCATGTCACTGCAAATTTTCAAGGAAAAAAAAGGACGTTTAAGGGGCGAAAAGTAGTCTGAAAAATGACGTCATAGCCGATACGTGTTAGATTCGGGCGGAAACTCGGCGGAATTCGTATAGTGACCTTTGTTCAAATGCGATTTACTCACAATTTTCTGTGTGAACATATACTATACTTGGTATCATTCGAAAGGGCACTTCATTGCGGTCAGTTTGACACCACTGTTATCTGCGTGCAATGTATTGCACGCATTAAACGCGCTATTACGTAATGCATAGTAAATTCATCATTTTTGGCGATAACTTTGCGCTGACGTTATTAAAATTTACCAAACTTGGCAGACAGTTGTCACGTATATGGATACATGTGTCTGCCAAGTTTCATTGATATAGGTATAAAGATCGCTATATTAGAGCAAGTTTAAGTTATTTTGGAATTTTCTTGAAAATGGCGAAATTGGAGGGCATTTTTCTCAAAGACGGTCAGTGTTAGGGTATATAATTTTGTATATGACTGAAAAGGGCATATGTTCAAGTATCTAAATCCAAAAAAGGGTACGGGTCTGCCAAGCCATAATGGAGATACGGCCACAGAAAGAAAGCTAATTCCCAGAACTTTAGAGGGCGCTATTTATGTTTTGCATAGCCATTGGAGCGTAAAATTTGGCATGGCTATGTGCAATTATGAAATAAAGATACTGCGAGAAGATGAGACGGAACGGAATTGGTTAAAGAAAGTTATTGCAATTTTTAGATTTGTAGGGGTCCATTTTTCAAGAATTTGAGAGATTGTTGACGGAGTCGGTTTCAGATTTGAATTTTGAGTATGAAGATGGCATTTTGAAGGTCAGGTTATACGTCGCAGATTAAAGAACATCTCTTAGACTATCTAGAGAAATTTGTTAGAAGTTTGTAGGATCAAGGATAGTAGAGATAGGAAGGAAGATAGAAAGGCCTTAAAATGGACCAGAAACGGACAAAATGGCGCCTGGACGTTTACGCATGAGTGATTTTAGAAAACGAAAAAGTAGGTGACCTAGATTGGATATCAGAGATAACGCCTACGAAGTTTGAAAGGAATCGAGCAAGAGGAAAGGACCTGGATAGGAATAACAAGCACTACGTGCAAAGCGAATGTGATTCCGGACGACAAGAAGAAGTAAGCATATTACTAGAAATGCAATCGTGTCACAACGATGTGCGTGCAATGACGCCGTGTTTCTACATGTCAAACGAAAGAGCTTCTCTCGGACTATCCAGAGCAATTTGCACGAAGTCTGTAGCTTCTGTGATATTGGAGATAGGTAGGGCGAAAGAAAGGCATCAACAGTGACCTTGATGGGATGGTACTATGCCTACGAAGTTTGAAAGAAATTGGGATAGGGGAAAGAACCTAGAAAGGGCTCGCAAGCACTGCGTGCACAAACCAATGGGATTTGGTGCATGTTTGACATTGCAATCAAGTTCGTTGTGGGGGCCAAAAGCGTGAACCCGATATGCCCCATAGACAATGCGTGTAATAAATGGGCGGAAAACGTGCAGGATCTGTATTATGGCCGGAGTTAAATTGTTTTTTCTCTCTCTCTTTACGTCTCTTTATTGGCCGTATTTGGTATCATTAGAAAGAGAATTTCATGGTTGTTATTGTAAACCACTCTCTTTTTTTCTATGATAATCCTATCGAAACACGTGATGTAAAATAGATGTATAGGACAAAATGGCGTCTTAAATGGCCCCCTTGACCAATTTCAAAAATCCGGCCAAGAGGTGCCCTGCGTATTGGAACTCGCCATGTCACTACAAATTTTCAAGGAAAAAAAAGGACGTTTAAGGGGCGAAAAGCAGTCTGAAAAAATGACGTCATAGCCGAAACGTGTTAGGTTCGGGCGGAAACTCGGCGGAATTCGTGTAGTGATCTTTGTTCAAATGCGATTTACTCACAATTTTCTGTGTGAACATATATAATACTTGGTATCATCCGAAAGGGCTCTTCATTGCGGTCAGTTTGACACCATTGTTAACTGCGCTCAATGTATTGCGCGCATTGAACGCGCTATTACGTAATCCATAGTAAATTCATCATTTTGGGCGATAACTTTGCGCTGACATATTCGAATTTTACCAAACTTGGTAAACAGTTGTCACGTATATGGATACATATGTCTGCAAAGTTTCATTGATGTAGGTATAACGATCGCCATTTTAGAGCAAGTTGAAGTTATTTCTCAATTTTCTTGAAAATGGCGAATTTGGAGGGCAATTTTCTCAAATTTGGTCAGTGATAGGGTATATAATTTTGTATATGGCTGGAAAGGGCATATCTTCAAGTATGTAAATCCAAAAAAGGGTACGGGTTTGCCAAGCCATTATGGAGATACGGCCACAGAGAGAAAGCCAATTCCCAGAACTTTAGAGGGCGCTATTTATGTTATGCAAAGCCATTGGAGCGTGAAATTTAGCATGGCTATGTGCAATTATGAGATAAAGATACTGTAAGATTTAAATACAAAACGGAATTTATATGAGAAAGTTATGGCAGTTTTAGATTATTTAGGGGTCCATTTTTCAAGAACTTGAGAGATTTTTGACGGAGTCGGTTTTAGATTTGAATTTCGAGTATGAAGATGGCATTTTGAAGGTCAAGTCATGTGTCGCAGATGAAAGAACATCTCTCAGACTATCTAGAGGAATTTGTTAGAAGTTTGTAGGATCTGTGATAGTGGAGATAGGAAGGAAGAAAGAAAGGCCTTAAAATGGACCAGAAACGGACAAAATGGCGCCTGGACGGTCATGCATGAGTGATTTCGAAAATCGAAAAAGTAGGTGACCTTGATGAGATGCTATAGATGATGCCTACGAAATTTGAAAGGAAAAGGACATGAGGAAAGCACCTAACTAGGAATAACAAGCATCATGTGCAAAACGAATGCGATTTTCTGACGAGGAATATAAGGAGGAAACTAGAAATGCAATCGTGTCAGAACGATGTGCGTGCAATGACGCCGTGTTTCTACGTGTC